AAAAAAAAAACACTTTGTACTGTTATTCTACTGTCTTCTGAGTTCCTTCACTTATGTGCATCAGAAGAATGGATAGAATATTAACATGTTAGGTTATCCTGAGCTATCTCTATAACTATACTGCTATACTGCTGGAGGACATTTGGACCTCTTCTACAATCCTCTTCTATTCATTAGTATTTGTTAGCTTATTCTGTTTTGGCTCTGTTTGGCTATGACACCATCTTGGAGAGAAATATCAACTGAGCTGCTGCCATTAACACCTTCAGTTTATTTCTATAGCTCCAATTCACAACACATGTCATCTCAAGGCACTTTACAAATCAACCAAATCATACAGTCAGGCTGCTTTAAATTTTTCTATCTAAGGAAATTCAGCTTCAATAAGCTGGAATAGACCTTCCTTTATAGAGTTCAGACTGTTTTTCAGTTTTTAGTCCTGTTTCTCTCCTAGAAAAAGTTTAGGTCTCTGCTTTTACTGTGACTTACTGTAGACGCTCTATTAACATTAATATTTTTTTCAGAGACCAAGCCCCCTGTGGAGCTAGTTTACTGTTACCTTCTTTAAATAAAAATGGATGGACCAGAGCTTTTATTTGTCTGCTTCTGTTTCTCTGAACCAGTCGGGCGTGACAGAAGCCTGCTCACACCTGTTCTGGTTCTGCTGGAGGATTCTTCTTGCTAAAATAAAGTTTTTCCTTTCCACTCTTGCTGTATGCATGCTCGGTGTGAAGGATTGTTGTAGAATTAAAGACAAAATGCAAGTGTATATCTGTCTGCACTCATTCACCCAGGAGGTGCGAGTCCTACAAAGTCAATGGCTGGATACAATCAGCTGCATTTTCTTAAAGTCGTGGCGCTGATCCAACGGTTGCCGTTCTGAATTCCTCCGAATGGTTCCCGACTTTACACGAGTGAATAAAGTGAATGTGATTGGTTGATTATCAAGCGGGCGGGATTATTGTGGTAACCAGTTAGCAACTTAGTGCTAGTAGGTTCCCAATGGGAAATT